CAAAACAAAATTAAGAACGAAGAGTTATCTTAGTCCCGAAAATATCTTTTTAACACGCTTTCCGTGTATCACGTACCAGAGAATTTCCAAACGTATACGTCGTAGGGCCTTTAATTTTCCCCCATGTGAAAGTACCGACGGATTAAGAGGTTTCATTTGAATGGTAACATCATAGAAGTGTATCCACAAACACAAAAGTTAGAACATCATACTAAATAAATAGTACCATGTGAAAGTACTGCCGAAGAAGTTTCACTTGAATGGTAACATCATAGGAGTTTTTATCCACAGACTCAGAATTAAAGTTAAACACACCTTCCCAGACCTGATAAGTCAATCTGAGACTGAACGGCTAAAGAACGTACCCGATGCAATAGTGTCCCTTGTTGATCGTGGTTCAGCTCCCAAATGACCTTTTCTTGGCGGCTGGTACAGTGCTCGATCGGGACGATCCTAAAACCCACCAAAGACAGAAATATTAAATGTAATCAATTGGTAACGAGTGCAATTTTGCAAATAATAGAGAGGTTTAAAATCACGTTTACAGCAAACGTGAAATTGTACCACGTGACCAACTTTTCTCTTTGATTTATACTTGTCGTTTGCTATTTATTATTTCTACATGGGAATTAGTTATTTCTGGTTATGTTGATTGATATCGAGTTGAACACGAGAAGATAAAACTCGTATCCACAAGAGGGCATGTAATATTCTGTTTATTATATAGACACCGATGGCGAGATGCTGTGATGCTCTTTTCCTTTGGGCTGAGACTGACGTAGCCATGACAACCGTGATATCTTCACATGTGAAGGATCACTGCTAGACTGCAAAACAGTCGGTTTTTTTCCCAAAACTGGTTTAGAGTTGCGTAGCAGCAGCGTAAGAGCAAGCGCGTGAGCCTCACATGCCCGAATACGTAGGGCAGGTGAGGCGAGAGAAAAATAAAACTGACTGTCCGTTTTCCATATAATCAGTTCGTTCTGACCAGGGGGTTCAAAAATGTCGTTGAACTGTCAAAAATCTATTTACAACTCCGTCCTCTTTGTAAATTTGACACATCCGGTGATTGATTTCGCGAGAAAATAGCGAAAGCAGTCTTGAGCGTTGTTTCCGTGTACAATGTAGTGTTTTCTGGAAGATCAAACATGAGTGGATGGAAGTGGCAGTACGCCGACAAAGCCTGTTCCTGCCTCTCGAAGAGGGAGAAAGCCGAGCCGAGCGCTTCAGATAATTGTAGAATTTGCAGNGTGACCAACTTTTCTCTTTGATTTATACTTGTCGTTTGCTATTTATTATTTCTACATGGGAATTAGTTATTTCTGGTTATGTTGATTGATATCGAGTTGAACACGAGAAGATAAAACTCGTATCCACAAGAGGGCATGTAATATTCTGTTTATTATATAGACACCGATGGCGAGATGCTGTGATGCTCTTTTCCTTTGGGCTGAGACTGACGTAGCCATGACAACCGTGATATCTTCACATGTGAAGGATCACTGCTAGACTGCAAAACAGTCGGTTTTTTTCCCAAAACTGGTTTAGAGTTGCGTAGCAGCAGCGTAAGAGCAAGCGCGTGAGCCTCACATGCCCGAATACGTAGGGCAGGTGAGGCGAGAGAAAAATAAAACTGACTGTCCGTTTTCCATATAATCAGTTCGTTCTGACCAGGGGGTTCAAAAATGTCGTTGAACTGTCAAAAATCTATTCACAACTCCGTCCTCTTTGTAAATTTGACACATCCGGTGATTGATTTCGCGAGAAAATAGCGAAAGCAGTCTTGAGCGTTGTTTCCGTGTACAATGTAGTGTTTTCTGGAAGATCAAACATGAGTGGATGGAAGTGGCAGTACGCCGACAAAGCCTGTTCCTGCCTCTCGAAGAGGGAGAAAGCCGAGCCGAGCGCTTCAGATAATTGTAGAATTTGCAGGTGTTGTTTAAAAACACAGTTCGGCAATTTTAATTAAGAGTGGATAGATAAGTTCTGAAAACATGTTTGTTGCCCCTAATAGTACTAGAGAAAGGTGAAACGTTACCAAAATTGGCCGACCTTCTGATAAACGAACTTTTCGTTGTCCAGTCGACCAAGGAGAATCTTTCTCCAGAAAGGTGGAAAGTGCGCTGCGATTCTTTCGCAACTGAACACGCCAACGGACAATGAATTCATCACGGTAGGGAACATCACAAATGACTTGTTGCAAACATAACTTGACAGTTTGCTAATAAGAGCTTGCATCAAAATTTAGCCAATGGGAATTGCCCGTGGCTGGGAGAAGCGGGCAATTCGAACGAATATATCTTATTCAAAACGGACAGTCCGTATTTTTAGCGTCTCTCCCCAGTCTCGCTCTCCGTTTTCTGCTTTTGTTTAACTGTTCGTGCGTACAGCGTACTTGAATACACAAAAATACGGACTGTTTTGCAGTCTAGATCACTGCAAAAATCCTGGTATTTCATCGTTTTCTATATAATAAAAAGTTTTAGATTCTTCTTTTAGATTAACTGTCTGGATACAGGAAAGGTCCAAGCACTTTGAACTTTGGACTCGTTGTTTTTTAAACTGGGACTCATTGGTTCTGGACAGGGACTCATGCTTCCCAGGAATCACCATAACTATTTCTAACAAAATCACTGACCTTATTACGCACTCGTTCTACCAGTTGATAGTGACTATTTCTCTTCTCATCTTTTCCACTTTCCTTAGAAGATTCTCCTACTTGTGGTTTTTTTTCGCCAGTGCCGGTAACCGAGGACGTGATCTCCTTTTTCTTCTTTTCTTTCTTCTTTCCGGCAAAATTTGCTGTTGATCGTGGGTCGGCTCCGAAATGACCCTCAGTTCTTGGCGGCTGGTACAGTGCTCGATCAGGACGATCCTAAAACCCACCAAAGACAGAAATAGTATATGTAATCAACTGGTGACGAGTGCAATTTTGGAAATAATAGAGAGGTTTAAAATCACGTTTACTGCAAACGTGAAATTGTACCACGTGACCAACTTTTCCCTTTGATTTGTACTTGTTGTTTGCTATTTATTATTTCTACATGGGAATTAGTTGTTTCTGGTTATGTTGATCGATCAGATGTATATTGCACAGTTTTTAATTGTTTATGTCCTAAATTTGGAAAATTCTCAACCTGCATCTCACCTTTTCCTCTAGCCTTTTGCCGTGAACGTGACCCTAAATCTCTCCAATTCACGCGCGTTTTGTCCAAATTGTAATAATTATATATAGCGGATAGTACATGCCCGCACGTGGATACGAATTTTATCTTCTCTTGTTCAACTCGATATCTCACGAGTGCTAGATAAAATTCATATCCACAAGCAGGCATGTAATATTCTGTTTATTATATAGACACCGATGGCGAGATACTGTGATGCTCTTTTCCTATGGGCCGAGACTGACGTAACCATGACAACCGTAATATCTTCACATGTGAAGGATAAAAATTGTGTCTTCACCGGATACCAAAGTTTCGTGACTGGAAAAAATCCTGGTATTTCATCGGTGTCTATATAACAAAAAGTTTTAGATTCTGCTTTCAGATTAACTGTTTGGATACATGAAAGGTCCAAGCAATTTGAACTTTGGACTCGTTGTTTTTTAAACTGGGACTCATTGGTTCTTGACAGGGACTCATGCTTCACAGGAATCACCATAACTATTTCTAACAAAATCACTAACCTTGTTACGCACTCGTTGTACTCGTTGATAGTGACTATTTTCCATTTCATCTTTCCCACTTTCCTTAGAAGATTCTCCTACTTGTGGTTTCTTTTCGCTAGTACCAGCAATCGAGGACGTGATCTCCTTTTTCTTCTTTTCTTTCTCCTTTTCGGCAAAATTTGCTGTTGATCGTGGTTCAGCTCCCAAATGATCTTTTCTTGGCGGCTGGTACAGTGCTCGATCCGGACGATCCTAAAACCCACCAAAGACAGAAAAAGTATATGTAATCAATTGGTGACGAGTGAAGTTTTAAAAATAATAGAGAGGTTTAAAATCACGTTTACGGCAAACGTAAAATTGTACCACGTGACCAACTTTTCCATTGAATTTATTCTTGCTGTTTGCTATTTATTATTTCTACATGGGAATTAGTTTTTTCTGGTTAACAAAATCACTAACCTTGTTACGCAGTCTTCGTTGATCACTACTTCTCTTCTCATCCTTTCCACTTTCCTTAGAAGATTCTCCTTCTTGTGGTTTCTTTTCGCCAGTACCAGTAACCGAGGACGTGATCTCCTTTTCTTTCCTTTCATTCTTCTTTCCGGCAAAATTTGTTGGTGACGGTAAGTCAGCTCCCCAAGGACTTTGTTTTAGTTCATAAACTTCTCCATCGGGACGATCCTAAAACCCACCAATGATAGAAATATTATAGCTAATCAATTGGTGATGAGTGAAATTAGGAAATAATAGAGTGGTTCAAAGTCACGTTCACGGCAAACGACAAACGTGAAATTGTGCCACATGGCCAACTTTTCTCTTTGATTTATACTTGCCGTTTGCTATTTATTATTTCTACATGGCAATTACCGAGACCTTGATCATTCCGGATATCAAAAAAACCGAATCTAATGATTGTTTTATTATAAATTGTTTTGAAAAAAATAACGATAAACATACCGTCGCATTACGAACCTGAATTGAATGATTCTGTTATTGGAAATCATACATTGCACGCAAAACTTACAGATTAGTCAGTTATCTGGTAGCAGATAACTAAGTAATCTGTAAGTTGCGCTGCGGTTCCAAAATAGCTGTAGGTTCTTAGCCAATGATAGAGAGTACAATGTATAATAATATTTATATCGTATTTCATTACTGGTTAATGTTTTTGAGAAAATAAAGCTTAAACCTGAAGTACCCTACTTTTTAAAGAAGTTGCTAGTAAAAAAATGTTCTGTTATTTTTTTACTGAAATTTTATGTTACCGGCACCAAAGAAAGAATAAATGATTTCTTGAATAAAACCCACCATCAGTTTCGCTGTATTTTCGCTATTTGAAGCAGATAAAAGAACTATTGGCATCCGCAGTGCTGTTTTCTTCCAAGGACCGAGTAACTGTTGAAGGAGTTCCTAAAAGATTGAAGAGGATAAAAATTTGAGTGGAACAACAAAATGAGCTAATCTGAATTTTTGGTAACAGTAACAAAACTCGCGAATCAATAGTAAGAAACGGACGAGGACTCTCTTTTCAGTCTTCACGCGGTTCATTTTCTCGCTCGCCCTAGGTCCACATTACCTAGACTTCGTTCCCAGAACGATGCTGAAATAACTGAAAGCTTGTATCAGGTAAAACTGCGAATATTATTGTTGCCTTCATTCCGCATACCGTTAAACACACTAATATTCGTTAATTTCCTTTCTGACAAGGAAAGTGATTACAGCGTGAGACAACCTCTTTTCCATTTCAAGAGACGCAAAAGAAAGAACAAAACACTCGCTACTGATTTAAGGTGATTCCCTGGTTTTGCATTGCGCATCTCTTACTGCGCATAACAAGATGGCCGCCGTAAACAAGAGCATGTGAAGTAACATTATTAAAATGAAGTTGACTAAAGTTGACTAAAATGAAGTTGCTTACGGTTGTTTCTTGCCGAGGTGAGACTCATTGTGTTGCGAATGTGCATAACGTAAGCAGTACGCGTGTTGCTGAGTTCGACTTCCTCACGGAGAACCTCGATAGTGGATGTTTAACTTGTGATTACTCACTTTGATTTTTATTTAAACGCTTTCTTTATCACATTGTATCCTAAATGTGATATCTCGATGTAAATTCTGTAAAAACAGATTTTTTAAAACTTTCTTCCCCCTTTCACATAAATTCTATTTTGAAACTCGCCCCAGTCCTCTCTCAAAACTCGGAGAAAATGCATTTGGTGCGCACTTTCTGCAGCTCTACCGCAAAAACGAGCAAGGTGACCCCCATTTTTTATTTCATGATTTTAATAAGGACAGTGCTTCCTTTCGATGAGAAAAAAATTGGCACAAATCTATGTTCAGTTTTTTGGCAATTTTACTAAATTGTACGGATTGAGCTATCACGGGTCGAATAGCGCGTGTCCAATTCAATTCTACTTTGGGGCGTAAAATAAAAACAGGAGCATTAAAAGGTATTTTTCTGGTTTGTTAGTGGATAAACAATACAATAAAGTCAAATTCTGTGCGATATCACATGCATCATCGAAAAAATCTCTCGTTTTTGTCTTGTTTTGGGCTGCGCGCGGTTTTTGACAAAGGGTCAAAAATAGCCGTATTTCTCAGCATTGTGACGTCAAAACGAGCACGGTGACCCCCACTTTTTATTACTTTTTTTTCATCTTCTTGACTCCTTACATCAGTGTCCCAAGTTTCATCTACAATCTATGTTAGGTTCTTTTACTAGGGAATCACCTTAAGTGCAGATTTTGTGTGTAAATGTCATGTATTTTTGCTAGAAAAAAGAAATTTTACCATTGATATTTTAAACCCTAAGAGTGATCAGCTTGAAATTTCTCCTTATAACATCAATTCTTTATAAGACAGAATGATCATGAGATTTGACAACATGATCAGAGAAAGTGAATCGACTTGATATTTCTGAATCAAAAAATTCTCTCCACTTCTTCTATTGAAAATGTGATAGGGACAACAAATGAGAGTGTGAAGTTAGACATTAGGGTTAAAAGACTCACCACTGGTCATCGTTAGGAATTCTTTATTGCCGCAAGTCAGGCCAGAAATCTCGATTGTGCCGTTTCCGATTACCATGACGCCATCCTTTTGCTGGCTGGTGACGTCATAGATTTCACTCTCCCTTTCAATCTCAGGATTTCCAGGCAAACCTGTCGCTCCTGAAGTGTCAACAACAACAACATTTTTAATCAATGTCACGCCATCATTGCCGTTTTCAGCCCTTGCTGCACAACTATCCTTAACATTACCTTTCACATCGGAATCTTCCACAAAGGTTTTTGTAGACACGCCAGATATGTCACTTGCAGGACTTCGACTTTCCACGTTCCGTATAACGTGTTTTTCATTCTCACTATTCCGGGTCATCATTGTAGTTTCAGCTCCTGATGTCTTGCGTGCGCGAAGAAAAACTTCACCTTCGTCTTGAATAGTCAACATTACATCACCTGTCACTGCCAGAGGAGTTTTGCAAGAGAGTTGGGATGAGTTAACATTTTCTGTTTCCAAGGCAAATATTCGTGTTGCTTCGTCAGAGGTGGAAAGGGGTAAACTGAAGGGCGAAGATTGCTTGGGCGAGGCCGGATGAATCAAGAGACAAGATTCCAGGAGTGCCTGTTTTTCCGCCGAGGGTAAAGAAGACTCTGGTTCGATGGTCAGTGGAATCGGAGGCTCGGATGGTAGCACATCGATAACTATTTCCAGTTCAACGGTTGGCGAGACTATTTGGTCGTCGTTGAGTTCAGTTTCTGCCTTTAGGGTTTTTCTAGAAATAGGTGTTAGTGAGGAGCACTGGGCTACAGGTTCTGGAAACAGAGATGAGGCTTCTGGTTCTGCTGAAGTTATATCAAGTGAGGAAACGGACGTCAAAGATGATGAAGAAAACCACGAAAACATATTAGATAAGGAAGAACAGGTAAAAGAGGTGTCCGGAGAGCTCAAGTCAGGTACATCAACAACCTCGTGGGAGTCGGCTTGAGGAGCATCAACAACCACACAAACTGGACTGGATTCAGAGAGATCAACAATGGAACAAGCAGTATGTCCTTCAGAAGCTAGATTTGAGTCAGGAATATCGACCACCACGCAAGTGTTTTCTCTAGGAGAAACTGCCATCAAAGGGGGAGTGTCTGTTACGGTCCATGGTGATTGGGCATCAAAGTGTGTGGCTGCCAGTTGGTAAGATGACGGATTTGGTTTGGGTTTATGACTATCAGAGTCCCTTGATGTCCGCGTCCCGCAGTTTATTTTCTCTTCCTGGCTAATCCGCTCGCTGGAGTTAGTCAGGTCACGGTGTTTTCTCCGTAAGCATCTTTTCTTACACGTTCTCCTGCAAGTGACATTAAAGAGCAAAAGTGCTATAATTGTGAACGGTGGTGAGGGGCAGGAGAGCAGCCGAAAGACTTCTAACAAACTGATTGAGTGGACAGTGAGACTAGAAAGAATCAAACATCCACCGATTTCTGTAAAGCAACATCTACCAAATCTGTTGGTGTACACGTTGCTTTGACGAGGCGCTTACACGGGCACCACATATAGAGAATTAATCAGCGCAATCGGAGCGCGAGACAATTTGTTCCTCCGTCGACCCTCGAAACACAGTGTACTCTCTCATCCGACCGTACCTTGACTATTAAAGCGTTGTTTGGGAGGGGCTAGATTCAGAATTTTCTCTGAAGCTTCAAAAACTACAAAACCGCGCAGCTAGGATCATAACCTTTTCCAGTTATGATTCTATCTCAGCCCCCTACTCCAAGAGCTTGGATGGGACGAGCTCTCTATACGCAGAATTGAAGAAATGTTCAAGGAGTACAACAATATCGCACCTGAGAACCTATAACACAAAGTTTTGAAAATGGGGTCCACCTATAATTCAAGGAGCTTTTATTCTAGATTTCAACTGCCTCTTCCCAAAACCAAAAAACGTTTTGGCTATATGGGCGAATTTCGTTTGGAAAAAAAATTACTCGTGAATTTGCGTGAATGCAAGTCTCAATGAACTTATTTAAATCTGAATTGGAACTGCTTGCTTCCCCAGCTTCTTTGATTCCTTACTATAATTTTAGACTAGATTATTTTATCAAGGGTTAATACCTAATAAAATATTCTAGTCATAAAAGCCGTCTAAAAAAGTATGTATCTATCAGAGTTTTGAGTTAATATTAGTTGTGAAAAAGAAAAAAAATATAGTTTTACATATATTTTTTTCTTTTTGACAACTAATACTAACTCAAAACTCTGATAGATGTATACTTTTTTAGACGGCTTTTATGTAAACCAGCTTTAACTGACAAAACTTCCGTGACTCAATATCTATAACTCGGAAATAACATCTTGTGGAGGAATTGGGGGAAAGGTATTACAAATCCTGCTGGAACATAAAAAGTACGTACGTCCTCGATATACAAGTTAGTTTATCGTAACGCAAACCTAGTAATAAATCCGCCAATGAAGACGTGTTAAACAAAACTACTAGCTACATGATTTGCTTTCTTGTTTTTTGCGAGGCTTGCCAATTTAAAGTCGGCTCTACCTTTATGTAAACGGAATGTAAAAAAAATTAGTTATAAGTTCATGGTGAATTTAAAAGCAATCACTAAACAGTGTCAACTATCATCAGTTCCTGTCTTAAAACATTCTTATTAAACATTGGCAGTTGGCATTGGTCGGCCACGACTAAGACAGTTTCATAAAGAACCTAAGATTACATCGATCACACAAACGAGGAAAGTCTCTTTCATTAGAAAATCAAAGCAACATACCACAGACAAGCCAGTCCAGCAAATATGAACAGGAACACCATTATACCAGCACCAAGCAATGCAAAATTGACAGAAGATCTTGACTGTTCTTCTTCATCGTCTTCATCAGTAACAGGCTCCTCCCTATCATCGTCAATTTTCTGAGGTGCGACTCTTTTCTTTCTCTTCTTGTAACGTTTTTTTTTTTCGTTTTGATCCCCAGTCCTGAGATGGTACGCAGTCCAACGGAGGCCTGAGGATGGCATCTCGTAATGCGCGCCTGGTTTGTGCTGATGCGCCTTAGAGTTGGTGCCACCTTGTGTTGGGCGGTCGTGCTCTGTTATTCGGGGTTTAGGAATATCTTGCGCATGCTCTGAATGATCGTGGTTTGTATCGCTTTTGTCTTTAGCTTGAGTATTGAATTTTGATGAACCATAGCCAGCACCTTCTCCATTGGTCTTCGAAAAGAACCTGTCCTCGTCTGGTGTCGGTAAGGGTGTTAAGATCACTGGCAGTTTAACTTTTCTCTGGATTGGTACTTCTGGAAGGATAAAAACGCAGATATCATTTAACAAGGGAAAAATAAGCCACCTCTTAGCGTTTTAGGTTCTGGATAACACTCATCAAGAGGTGCTTTCATAATATCCTGCCCTGATATGAGGTCGCTTTAACAGACAAACCGGTATGATAAACGTTCCCATTCCGTCCTCAATTTCTCAAAAAGTAGATAGCGCTATATCTACCGGAAAAATCGTTATCCAGTGAATATAAGTTGTACGAAAACCAGTTGCGTTATCCCTTGATTATAGTTTTATCTAACGGAAAGCGCTATCCATCTTTTGAACAACCGGCCGTGGCAATTTTTTGGTCTCGATATTAACGTCTACTGATGCATTAAAACCTAAAGTGGTGTTACAAATTAAAGTAAACTTTCTTTTGTCTTTAAAAGGTCTATTATACTCCCCTCAAGAGAAAAATTCTCGAAATAACAACTATAAGGCTAAAAAAATAGCCAATCAAGGTCAAAACCAAAGCATTTCAGTCTAAAAGTTACTGCTTTGGGAAAGTTGTAAAGGAAATATGAAAAACTGTTCTAGGTAGTTACCAGATACATTTAAAAATATTTCTTGCCTGTAGCAAATGGTGGTCGCACTCGCTCGAATGTTGACGAATCGAAGCTGAAGGTCTTACTCCAGTACGAGTTGAAACACCAGTTTTATGTCTTTTGGCCAATCTTCGCATTGCAAGGTTGCGTGTGGTAAAGATGTTATTCTCATTTCCGGGATAGATGTTCCCTCGTTCTATGCCGGTTGTTACTGACTCTTCATTGTCTTTCTCCGCAGAAACGGGCTTTGTTCCTGCTGAAAATTTTTGCAAGGGGTAAGATAGTGCGGAATAATTTTTGTGCATATGCTGTGCAATTTTTGCGCTTGAACAAAGAAATATTTTTCAAATTCGCCATCCAACAGACGATGCTGTGCTAGCTTAATTCAAGGAAAAAAGAATGCACAAAATAAACGCATTCAAAATACCAACAAACGACATTCAGAACACAATTAAGTGAAGTCCACAAAAAGAGGGCCACTCTTAACCGTTACAAATTTTGATTTTCAACAATACTAGGGCAAGAAGCACCAGTGAAAATAACGTTTTCCACTTCATCCTTCATGAATTGTTGCAGAATTAAAAGCTAACGTCATAGACGCATGTTTTTGATGGCGCGTGCACCTCACCTCGCGCTCAATCTGGAACCCAGAACCTTTCTGCACGTGCCCGGAGGGTTGTCCAATACGCACACTCAAACTGAGTCCAACATTTCACTTAAATACTATTCCATTGATCCAATGTTTTAATCTTACTAATACCCCCAGATTATTGCAGCATTTCTTTTTTTCCCTTACCGTTCTCCTGCCTTTAAAAGCATGAATCCCTTTTTTCATGATATAACGAATTGAAATTGTGTTACGCATCATGTTTCACTTAGTGCTATTCCATTCAACCATAGTTATTAAAGTGGAATGGTTATGAAACCCGTTAGACTCTTTTGTTAGATTTTTTTGTTAGCTTTTTTGAACCTGACTGTGCACAACGTTGAATAGCAATCGTATCATTTTGAATTTACAGACCAATAAAATCATCTCATTAATTTATTCAGTTACCATTTGTGAACAAAGAACATTGGCTTGTTCACGGTCTGTCTCCAGGTCTCCACTACTAACTATGATGGAACTCATGTCAAAGAGAATTTTAAAATGTATTTTCAGGTCATTTACCTTTTGTTTTTCTACCTAGAGCATTTTTCAACTTGCAAACATGATTTGAAAGATTTCTTGTTACTGTACTTTAACTTTTAAGTCTTCCACTGATTTGGATAACATTCAGTTACTCTCCAAACAAACCTTATTTTAACGAAGTAAAATGAATAAAACGAAATGAGACGATATTAAGAGTATGAAGTCATTGATTTGCGTTATAAGAAATTTTTCAGCTGGCCAGATAAAATATGATGGAATAGTTATCCTTCTTGTCCATTACGGGGAAGTGGGTCAATAGTGGTATGCCTACACACTCAATTCGTGCCACTTAACTCGTAGAAAAAGGCCATCATATCATTACCAAATCTAACCAGCGGTCCATTTCAAATCGCTTCCTTCGCCCATGCCTCAAAAAGAGAGGTACATGCCTGCGTGGTCTGTTGGGTTCTACCGATTGCTTTATGAACAACTTCCATTTTAAGTGTAGCGCTCTTATTTAGCCTCCGCGTATCTTAAAGAACGAGTCATATTGCTCATATAGCGTATTTGTTTGTCCTCTACCTTTTAGAACGCAGCATTACATATGCGTAACGCACTTGTTTCGCGTCACTGGCATATTGCATGTGTAGCGTGCTTCATCTCTTGGTTAAAAAAGAAAAAGACCTATATTACATGTATGGTGCGCTTGTTTCACGTCATGGCTTTAATTAAGACATGTGGAGCACTCTTTTTTCGCATCATGGCTTTAAAAACGACGTATATTACTACACAATGTAGCGCGCTTGTTCCGCCTTATGGCTTTAAGAACGACGTATATTACATGCGTAGCACGCTTGTTTCGCCTCATAGCTTAAAGAACGACGTATATTACATGTGTAGCGCACTTTTTTCACCTCATGGCTTTAAGAACTACGTATATTACATGTGTAGCCCACTTGTTTCGCCTTATGGCTTAAAGATATTTATAAGTCCGTCGCGAGCTGACTTCCGGTGATTCCGATCGACTCTTGCCAGGACGAACTGTCTCCATCGGGATCCGATCGAGTCTGTTTGCCAATATCAGGGCGTAAGGAGCTACCCTAGCTCTTTACGCCCTGGCCAATATCTTCAACCCTCGCTCGCTCCTGTTAACTTCTTACTTCCGGTACCACTGATCAAGCGCCTTGCGCCCATTTCCGGTTCCGGTGGCGATCTGACTTAATCCCCTTGAAGACAACCCGACTCACGCCGAGTGTATTGGACATGTGTGCACGAAGAAACTGAAAACCAAATTGGAAACCATCAACCACATGGGACACCGAATCCGAAAAACCGCTTTCTTGTTTTGTTCAAAAACCGTAAACCAGATGCTAAAAAAAAAAA